TTCGAGCCCCGAGATTTTTCGAGCCCCGTATATATATATTTATATACACACACAGTACTGTGGAAATGTTTTAGGCACTTGTTTGAAAAAATGCTGTAAAGTAAGAACGCTTTCAGAAATTAAAGTGTTAATAGTTTACTTTTTATCAATCAACAAATGGAAAGTAAATGAACAGAAGATAGATCCAAATCAAATCAATATTTGGTGTGACCACCTTTTGCCTTCAAAACACTATCAGTTTTTCTAGGTACACTTACACACTTCCTTTTTGAAGGAACTCGGCAGATAGGTTGTTCCAAACATCTTGGAGAACTAACTGAGATCTTCTGTGGATGTAGGCTGCCTCAAATCTTTCTGTCTCTTCATGTAATCCCAGACAGGCTTGATGATGTTGAGATCAGGGCTCTGTGGGGGCCAATCCATCTCTTCCTGGACTCCTTGTTGTTCTTTACACTGAAGATAGTTCTTAATGACATTGGCTGTATGTTTGGGATCATTGTCCTGCTGCAGAGTAAATTTGGGGTCAGTCACATGTGTCGCTAATGGTATGGCATGATCCATAAGTATCTGCTTGTATTTCTCAGCATTGAGGACACCATTGATCCCGACCAAATCTCCAACTCCATTGGCAGAAACGGAGCCCCAGACTTGCAATGAATCTCCACCATGCTTCACTGTTGCCTGCAAACACTGATTATTGTACCGCTCTCCAGCCCTTACGCGAACAGACTGCCTCCTGCTACAGCTAAATATTTCAAATTTTGACTCGGACTGAGCACCTGCTGCCATCATTCTGCGGCCTGGCAGCCAAAAAGCCGTACCTCCGACGTGGAAACAAGGCTAAGCAACTCAACTTTACCTAAAAACATAGGAACTAGGTGTGGAAAAATGGCAGTAGGTGCTGTGGACTGATGTGTCAAAATGTGAAATTTTTGTCTATAGCTGGAGGCAGTTTGTTCACTGAAGGGCTGGAGACATACATACATGGGGGCAACTATATTTGCTCATGGTATAAAAAGGTGAACCGTTACAATCAGTCAAGCTTCTTAGCCTAACCGCCATAACATATCGGCCATACAGGGAGACCATTGTTTTCAATGTGTCAACCCCTCCATAGACATGCATTATTAAAAGCAGCAGTAAAACCCCATCACTATAGAGTGGTAAGCAAAACATACTCTGCTTCCTGCTTTGTAGTGCTACACAGGGGTTGTCTTTTACTGCTGCTTCTCACTATGCATTTCTGTGGTGGGGCCGACACATTGAAAACAATGCACTCCCTCTGTGGCCGATATGTTATCTGAACAGTTGTTAGGCTGAGAAGCTTGACTGATTGTAACTGTTCACTTTTTAGACCATGTTTCACATACCATATTATGGACGTAACATGAAGCATGGTCACGGGGTGCATCTTGTAACTGATGTGACTTGAATTTAGCACAGCTGTGCATGGCTCCACCCACTGATTCGCATCATTCACGAGGATCCATCTGCAACGACAGCAAAGGGACTCACAAAGCGCGCCAGCAGAATTGGGGATTTGATGTGTAAGGCGAATGTCTCTATAGGAGCAATTAATTAATTTCCCTTAAACCTTAAGTGACACAAAACTCAACAGATAAATCTTATAAATGCATTCATGTACCATAGTAACAATAATGTACCTTATTTGTGTATCGCCCGGCTGTAGATCCTCAAATCATCTCCAAATTGCTGCTGACACTGTCCTTCCTTCTGGAGGGTGGCTACTTTACAACACACACAGAGACCATGGGGAAGAAAAGTAACCACCCTCCAGAAGGAAGGACAGTGTCAGCACCAAGTCAGAGATGATTTGAGGATCTACAGCTGAGTGATACACAAATAAGATGCATTATTGTTAATAGTTAGGGAACTTGAATGCATTTTTAAGATTGAATTAGTTTAGTTAGTGTAACTTTAAGATTCATGAATGATGTGGCTGAAAATACAAGATTAAGGTAAGTGTATTTACATAATATTTACACTTTAAAAAAACATTCCCTAACAATTTATCTCTCTTCAGTCTCATTAACAAAAATAATAGTCCTCTGCTAACACATGCACCAAGGTGCACATGGGAACCTTTAGGGGGGTCATTTGGGCACATTCAATCTGCTTGTGTATGTGCATTGGAGACACTACTGAGTCCATCGGAACAACTGGATATATCAGGAAAAGTCTGAAATTCTAACCAATAGCCTTTAATAGAAGAAGCCACCATTATTTGTACATCATTATTTGTACCTCTTCATCTTTCTCCTCATCTTGTTATCAATATCAGTTATTTGGTGACTTCCATTTCACTTGTATGGGCACCTTTGCTGAAAAGAAATACTGTTATTTATTTTGTATTTTATAACTCATCTTCTTTTGTATCGTTCTCACAATCTCACAATTTGTTTTCATGTAGGATGAGGTGGGATCTCCAGGAATAGTGGTGGGTGTGTCTGTGGATGGTGAGACTGTTTGGACAGAAGGTAAGTGTGTCTGGAGTACTACTCTGTAATACATGAATGTTCTGAGTATTATGTAAGAGGTGATAGTCTGCAGACAAAACTCTCTAGTCCCTTTGTATGCACAAAACACAATTTCAATAGAGTATTCTGTTATGAAAACTACCTGCTTGAAAATAGGCAACACAAAGCTCATTTGTCTTCATGCAGGTGTATCATCGAAGCTCAGACAAAGCTAATTTGCACTTGCAGTATCTAAAATTATTTCACATTTAGTTAGTCCAGTTGTAAAAATCTGTCATTGTCCTGATCAGATATTTTTGTTATCAGTGTAAACACTTATAAACCCATGTTATAATGGATGTGTTTATTTTCCCCAGCTTGTGACATCATACGTAATGTACATTTAATATACTATGCCTTTGAAAGAAAAGTGATGTGCATTATATTGTTATGTATGAAAGACATTCTGGTGCTTCTATTGAGACAATGGCTTTATAATGATCAATGCGAGACACACCTACAAACTTCCCGTGCAATCCCTGCTATCTGTATTATACCTAATTCTTCACAAATGTTTATTGGACTTCAATCTCACATTTAGTTAGCTATGTCTATTGAAATTGTAGTCCATCACGGGAACGAGCTTGGATTGATGGCTCTTTACAACACACACAGGGACCATGGGGAACAAAAGTAGTCTCCTTCCAGAAGGAAGGACAGTGTTGGCACCAATTCAGTGTAAATACCCATAACTACCGCTGAGTGATACACAAATAAGATACATTTCTGTTAATAGTTAAGGTACTTGAATGCATTTTTAGATTTAACTCCTGAGTTTAGTGTCACTTTAAAGCATACCTGTATGAATACTAAATTAAAGTTCAGCATCAGGCAGTAAACAGTAAGAGATGACTTTGTCCATCAGCTATTCCATTGCATTGCATATTCACTGAGTGGCTAGATTATTATGACCAACCCATCAGTACTTCGTTGGGCCACGAGATGACTCCACGAGATGACTTTGTTGGGCCACGAGATGACTCCACGAGATGTTGAAAGGTGATGCGAGGAATCTGACACTGCACTGTTGCCCTTCTGTTGTCTTGTACCAGTCTTGCCACTCTCCGTTCTGCCCTAACATTGACTAGTCGCCGACGGCCACAATTCGCACGTTCAGACCCAGATTTTTGGCTGACAGTCCAGTCTTTAAACACTTTAACAACAGCTGCTCTTGAACATTTAACGAATTCTGCTGTTTTGCTGATACTCGCTCCATGGCACTTGGGTTTGCTGATGTGGAGAACCGGATTCCGTGTTCAGCAGACAGTGTCATGCGTGTAGCCAGTATCAGCAAGTCTTTTACTATGACGGCAGTGGCCAAGCTTTGGGAGGAGGGTCGGCTAGATCTAGACGCACCAGTGCAGAAGTATGTACCGGAGTTCCCAGAAAAGGAGTTTGAAGGTGAAAAGGTGTGGAAAGTCACAAGGATTTATTCTAATTGCAATTATGATGGAGCGTCTCAACTTTGAGTTAGACTACTTTTTGGCAGTCAATCATATATATATTTTTAGTAGCACAGAATTATCATGTAAATTAATATTTAAATAGTTGTACTGAAATATAATGAGTCTCTGTCACTTGGCTTTTTTAGGACAAAGTAACAGAGTATCTTAAAAGAACACCCCCTGCTACTTATTGTCACCTTTGTCACACTCCCACCTCTGCTCTTTTACTGCTCTGGAGCCAGGAGTCAAACCATGTGTAAGCACTGTGTTGGATGATGTTGATGAAAATTGCCACTCCCTTATGTGACAGTGTTCAGGGAGACTTATGTGACTGCGTACTAGGAGGCGGTTATTTGCCCCAAACACCCCCCATATCTGCAAGCAATGGATTTTTACTGAGGGTTGTGATCTGAGCAGCAGAGGAGCAGCAGCACCTCAAATCAGGTCAGAAGCAATGATAAAATATATAGATATACAGTATATACCATTTAAAAACATCAACTTTCCCCCAAAGAACACAAAATATCCCTTTAATGCATAGTGCTTTGATAGTCATCATCTTCTCTAAGCACAAAAAGCCTTGTATCCTTTTCACAGCATGCAATGCATTCTTTGAATGGACAAAGGGAGATCCTGTCATTTACTCGCTCCTCCTCTTCCCATGTCCATTTACAGAATGTCTTGCATTATCTATTAAGAATACACGATTTTTGTGAATGGATGACAGGAGAGGAGGGGCAGGCAAACAACGGCATCCTTTACTGTATGGGAGCTGAAACTCAGTCACATGAAAAAGATTGCTACTATCCAGCATATTGACACTAATATTTGTAAAGTAAACGGCAGCGATCCGGCTATAGGATAGTCATCTTGGAAGTAACTTATTTGATTTGTAACTATTCCAATACATGAATACAATTTCCTTGAGTTCCATTTTAAAACACAAGACACTGCTGTAAGTGAGACTTACTGTTTTCCTTTGTATATAAAATAACTGCTAGATGTTTTCATTTTTCCTAAATTGCTAAAAAGTTGGACCACTCTTTCCATTAGGTGAGTTATGTGGCACCTTTTTCCTCCAGAGAGCAGCATTCCTGCAATGAACTGTTATGCAACCAATCAAAGATTACTTTTCTTTTGTTTGCCTGCCATAAGTGTCTGAAATATATCCAGTTGCGATGTGTAACTGCAGACTATTGCTCTTTACATAATGTTATTTAATAGAAGCAGTTTGTTGGTTGTGTGTCTGTGTGCACTCATTTAGGTTCTATTCTGTATTTACAAGTGTTGGCTCTTTTTGTAGGTGACAATAACAACAAGGCTGTTGACCTCTCACCTAAGTGGGATCAGACACTATGATAAGGACATCCAGAAAATCAGGAAAAGAATTGCAAAGAAATATTCTGAGACTGCAGCTTCCCTAGAGAGCAGCACAAAGAAAGAGCAGTGTGATACTACTGGACCGAGCAAAGCAGGAGAACAAGACAAGACCAAGGAACAGGGTGTCAAAAAATCTAAGAAGGCTGTGGCTGTTGAACTAGAAGAGTTTTATATCAAGGATAAGTTTGACGGTGTAATAGATTCCTTGGAGCTCTTTAAAAATGATCCTTTGGTGTTTAAGCCAGGTATGGACAGTACAGTGAAATAACTAGAACCATACATAAAGACTACTTTTTTCCTTTCTCAGTAGGACAGGAATAAATATTCAGGATCCCTTTATACTAATGTACATGCAGTCATGTGCTTTTGATGCACAATACTGAATTCATTTATTCCTATTTTAAATATGTGCTTTAAATGTTACCAGGGAACAAAAATGCTTGGAAAATTTAGATAACTATGCCAAATGCAATTGTTTTTCTTTGCGTTTAGGCTGTCTTTTCAAGGCTCCCACTTCTTCCTCCATTACTGTATACAGGAGCACCCATGAGCTGGTCCAGGAGGCACCATGAGACATTCGGATTGTGCTTGCATATCCTACCCTTCTCAAATGTTTATGGCCAGCTTTAGTGTTCATACTATTACTGAACTATCCTAAAAAGTACATTCTTAATGTGTATTGTAGTTACTAGTGGCTTTGCCCTCACCACAAGGAAGCAGTAGGCTGTCTGTAGAAATTATTGAGCAGTGATGACCTAATATCTATTTGCAAATGACTTAAAAAGTATCCATAAATATAAATTGATTTTCCCCTGATCCCACAATTTAAGGCCAGTGTTGAAGTATCTGCTTGTTTTCTGGAATATAGTCTTTAATACTAGCATGTGTGCTGATGCAAAGTTTATGTAAGAAGAAATAGAAAAAACAGGCATTCAATGGTCCTAAATCATCAAAAAACCAATACCGGCGCCTCCAGCTGAAAAGCGGGCCAGCTGTAATGATGATGGAAACACAGCAGAGGCAGCTCCCACAGGTCACAAAGACCACCAATCTGGGAAACAAAGAACGAAAAAGAGCGCCTCCATAGTGTAAAAACAAAATTTATTGATACAACACACAATTGAATTGTACTTACAGAAAGTCGGTAGTAAAAAAGCATGTACAGATCGACAGAACTCGAAACCTCTAGCAGAGGGAATCTGATAAGATGTATAGCATCAGCGTCCTCTGCCCCTGTGAGTTTGAAAGGTTAACGCGTCAGGATGAAGGGGGCGTGCCCCAGAAACGCGTAAACCTTTTGAACTCATGGGGACAGAGGACGCTGATGCTACACATCTTATCAGATTCCCTCTGCTAGAGGTTTCAAGTTCTGTCGATCTGTACATGCTTTTTTACTACCAACTTTCTGTAAGTACAATTCAATTGTGTGTTGTATCAATACATTTCGTTTTTACAGTATGGAGGCGCTCTTTATCGTTCTTTGGTCCTAAATCATGGCCACATGTCTGGCTACCAACTTCAGTGTAAAGCTATTTTTTACAGTCACTATAAACAAAGGCTGTTATCTGAACCAGGAACCAAAATTCAGCTCATCACCATTGTTATTGCTTTCTAACTTTTTCCAAGAAAGTGTGAGCAGGGTAATCTGCAGTGTGTCTCTAGGCATATATGGAGCAGTCATGGTGCTCTGCTCAGATGCTGAGTGACAGGATAAAGGTTCACTTTATATTGTGTGGCTTCATTGGCTGAAATCCCACCAACTGGCCTGGAAAGTGATTGATTTGTGTCTTGCCTCATGGTCAGAAAATAAAAAGTGCCCAAGCGGGGGCGTCTCGAGGCTGGGTGACAACCGGAGCGGTTACCGAGTGTCACCCCGCCGACTCACCACTGCACATGAGCGTGACGTCACCAAGAAGAGTGCCACGCGTGCTCGATTACGTCATCGCGCACGCGTGGAACTCTTCTGATACCTGCCGGCGGCCAATCTCGGCGATGGACGCCGGCAGAGAGAGGAGGGGACAGGTCCCCTCTTCTCTCTCCTGAGATTGTCCCTCTTCTCTGTCCATGACCGAGCGCCCGACTTTTCAGAGGGGGGTGACACCAAAATGACTGTCAGTCATTTTGGTGTCACCCGGGTGCAGGCCGCACCCCCCTTGTGACGCCACTGTGCCCAAGAAAATATCAGCTGGCATCTTGTAACAACAATCTCCAATTTGAAATACATCCTGTCATTTATTATAGGAAATAAAGAATTGTACAGCAATGCAGCAACTGGCAATGAAAGAAAAGTCAGTGTTTCTATCCAAGAATTACTGGACTGAAACATGAACCTGTTTTGATTCTATGAACTACTTTGTAGAATCTAAGACTGGACTTTTTCAAGTTCTGCGATATATCGAATGCCATCATATTTTAATGGCAGGAATATTGACCACAAACATCTTCTTAAAGTTGTTCATGTTGTGGTATTAGGCCAAATGTCCATTGTTGCTACAGATATCCATTGTATATATTGTGTGTACCGTCAAGATGTACTTAATGCAAGGGCCAGTGGTCAGCATAACATGTTTTATGCTTCACTTGTTCATGTTTTGCTCATCTGCATTATACTATGCACGAGCAGCTTCTGAAAAACATAGACCTACTCTTTTCAGTGTATTTGCTCTCTTGTGGCACAGATTCTATCACCATAACACACTTATGTCCCCTGTTTTCTGATGTTTCTTTCATGCTGTACATTTGGGGTGTTCATTTTTAAGCCTGTCCCTTTCCACTCCAGGGACACAGTTCCTGTATTCGACCCATGCATGGACTTTGCTAAGCGCTGTGGTTGAACGTGCCTCTGGAAGAAAGTTCCTGGATTACATGATGCAGATATTTCGAGATCTGGGCATGAAGAACACTGTGCCAGAGAAACATGAGCCTATTATATACAAGAGAGCCAGGTACAATTTTAGTGTGTATGAAACATGAATGGGCAAGGATCGTGATTTAAAAATAATGTAATTGAAACAGTTATATAAGTTGTGCTTTATTTACAAAAACATTTGTAAAGATGTTTTGCTATTTTGTTTTTTCTGTTAGGCTTCATTTACATGATCACCAACAGGGGATGCTTGGCAGACATATTCAGTACTTAACCACCAGACTTGAAATTGTGTACCGAGTCTGACATCACTTCTCTGCTTGTTGATTCAAATGTGGAATGTAGTGTATAGACCATCCTTGGCCTTTCACTGCAGGCAGAAGCATAGCCCAGCAATGACTAAAACATCATGAATGCTGGAAGCTATCCTGCAGTCACCAGCCCTGTGAATTGATCCTTAGAAGAAAATATGTTCACATGTAATTCTCTCTGTTATTATTAAAGCAGCTTTTCAGCTACTCTTTTGAGCCAGATACCCCTGCCAGAAATTTTAACCTAATCAGCTGGCACTCTTTTTCAGCTTGACTGTTGGACAGTGTGAGAAGATCCCCACTGACAAGGTTGTCATATTGCTCCCTACTTTTATTAAAAAACATCCAGTGTTTAATTGACAACACTTTACATTGTAGTGGAGTCTGACTAGTCCTGATGAACAGGGATTACAGAACCTTATTTAACCTCTTGCCGTCTGCCCGTTAAGAAAAAACGGACGGACGGCAGACTTGCATCAGCGGGTTGCCATCTCCAGACGGCATTTTTTTCCTGCTCGCGTGCGCCCCCTAGCGCACGCACACGGGCAGGAAAGACCCGCTTGTTACTACAGCCGTTAACGGCTGTTTCACATACAACCGATCAGCGGCTCTAAAGCCGCCGATCGGTTGTATAGCGTGAATTTCGGAGCGCCCTCCTTACCCCCCCAATCGCGAGTGCTGCCATCTCCGCCCTCCTGACCCCTCACGTTTGACCCCGGGATCCGCTAGCCCATCTGCGGCCCGGGACCGGCTCGGGAGGGCGTCAGGAGAAGGAGGGAGGGAGATCAGCTCTGTAGTGTGAATGCAACCGTTCCTTATAGGGATGCACCGATACCTTTTTTATCGGTATCAAGTACCGATATTTTATTTTCGGTATTCGTCGATACCGAATACCTATACCGGAAGTCCCATTAAGGAAGCCAGGCGGCGTGTAATGACTCACCACTTGGCTTCCTGATTAGCAGGGGAGCCATCTCCATGCTTCCTCGTCACCAGGAAGCATGGAGTCGGCTTTCTGGTCAATCAGGAAACCGTGGGCTGGTAATGACTCGCCGCCTGGTTTCCTGATTGGCCAGCTTCTTGACCAATCAGGAAGCCAGGCGGCGAGTGATTACACGGCACCCAGGTTCCTAATTGACTGGGTAGCAGGCTCCATGCTCATTCGTCACCAGGTGACGAAGGAGCATGAAGCCGGCTTTATGGCCAATCAGGAAGCCGGGGGGAGGGTAATGACTCTGCGTTCTGCTTCCTCATTGGCCATCTTCCCGACCAATCAGGAAGCCGGGCAGCAAGTCATTACATGCTGCCTGGCTTCCGGATTGGCTGGGAAGCCGGCTCCATTCTCCATTCGTCATCAAAGTGACGAGGGAGCGTGGAGCCGGATTCCTGGGAAATCAGGAAGCGAGGCAGCGTGTAACGACTTGCTGCTCTGCTTCCTGATACCAGAAGTTCGGATATCGGGCTAGGAATTGGAGCATTTGGGTGAGTACCAATACTCGCCCAAATACTCGGGATTGATACCGCTACTAGTATCGGTATCGGTGCATCCCTAGCTACTTACACTGTCTGTATAAAAAAAA